GTGTAATGTGTGACCTCATGTTGATGTCTGAGCACTGAGCATCCTGCGATTATAATGTTCACAGCGCAGAAGCAAGCGAGAGCTATGCCGTGCCAACTGCGAAATTACACTGCCACTGAAGTCAATCTCTTTCTACCATCCACAACGCATCCACAATGTAGTCTCGATGTCGCCACGGTCCAAGGGGAGGTCGCTTCTTGAGCAAAATGCTGATAACTTCTTCAGCGCTGCAGCTATATGCGGCAATGAGCCAAGCACACAAAACAGCAGTGCTGCGGTTGATACCACCACCAAAGCAATGAAACAAAATGTTTCTGGGCCTCTCAGCAACGACAGCCGAGATGGACTGCTGCCACAACTGGAGAATATGCCCTTCCAAGTGGAAAGGCGTTCCTTTTGCAATGCCTTGTGCTCATCTGCACTGCGCTGGGGCTGCTCCACTGTGATGTCGTCCAGCTGACAACGAACATGACAGACATTTGGTTCGTTGAAATCGTCGCTCCAATTTGGTGGGGCCCCGTGTACTTTCATTTCATTGTCACACATTGACACAACCACTGTTACAGACACACCAAGCTCTTCTTTGATGGCTCCCAAGTTGCAAGCTGCTTGCAGCTGCCAAGCAGCAAAGCCGCCTTCGCAAACACTGCAACCATCCACAGGCCACTCTGCTATGGATCTGAAACCGTAATCGTGGCTTCAGGAGAGTTCATCCAACGCCGTCCAGGAAGCAGTGTCACTGCACGCATCCTGGATGTCCTTTTGCCTGGGTTGCGTCCACTTCCGCATTCCAAGGCGCGGCATGGACGAGGTTAAATGTGGGAAACTACAGGCTTTCGTTTGAAACCCAAAAGAAGCTTCGAAATGAAGCAGTGGAAATCAATTGAAGTCTTTGTCACGAACACGAAAACTCAGATGATTGGTTTCACATGGCAACTTGACCGCAGGCAAGTATTTTGAAAACTCGCCCGCGGGGCTGCACAAGGCATTCATTCTTGGAAACTTGCTGTCGCTTGCGAAACTCAAACAATTCTGGTTGCTTCACATGCGATGCTTCAAAAACAGATTGTTTACACATGGCGTCGCTCAGGAAACTCAGACAGATCTGGTTGCTTTCCATGCGCAAAACAACGGCCATAGTCTTGCAATGGAAAATATTAGGCATCGTTCCATTTGCCAGCTTTCACTTTGGCTGGTGTGTACACAATCAGGTCAGAAGCAGGCCACGACCTTGTTGTGCTCATTTGCAATCCAAAGATGCCCTGTCGCTCTGCTTGCACTGCCTGGAGCTGCTCATCGTTGGTCAGCTTAAGGATCTTCTCAGCCACCACAGTCATGTTGGCACCTTGCTCGTCTGCGGAAACCTTCCCACACCAACAGATGCACTTTGTGATCTGCCATGTTGAAATTGCGCGTTTGTTCCAGTTGGCAGAAAGCTTCAACACAAAACGCTTTGGGCACTTTCGCCCCCACCGCGACAACTTGGGTGTGCTGCATCATGAACACGTCGTCCTCACCAGTTCCAGACTTTTTGATGGTTGGCTCCTCATCATCGCCGCGAACCAGCACACTGATGTAACCAGGGAAAATTGCTGCATCTCGCAATTGCACCCCAAAGCTTGAAAACAGCAAGCTCGTAGGGACACGTAGGCCATCCCAACAGCTCTCTGGTTCTCCAAGCGCAGAATCTTGCGGACCATCGACCGGTGCTCGTCATTGTATTCTTTGTATAAGGCAAACTGTGCAGCACCACTTGAAACTGACATTCCGGCAGCTGCCTCGTTGCCGTCTCACCTTTTTGCATCTGCAACACACCCTGGGCGGCAGCTGGCACGTTGGATCGTGCAGCGCTAGCTTTCCGCGTGTTTGCTGCCGGCCTCACGTCCACGGGATGTTTGAAGCAAATTTCTTAGGGGCCACATTTCTTTAAGAGTGTGAGAAGCTAGTCCTTCGTAGAAACACCGGCCAAGTCACAAGAAAAAAATCGTCAACCAAAATTCTCGCGATCTCTCCAGTGTGATCTGCCAAATTCACCGCGGCCAAAACGGCAAACTCATCATCACGCTCCGTCTGACAACTGTGTGTGTCATGGCGCTTGCAGTGCCCTGTGTCCGGGTCGATCTTTGTGCGGCAGCTTTTGCACGCCACATACATGGGATTGGACAAGATTCCAGTGACCCAAACGCTGTTCAGCTGCACCTCAATCACGGCGTCCTGCGCCTGCGTTAAAAAAAACAGAAGACAGAAGAAGACATAGACAAAGCAGAAACAACACCAAAAGCATGAGGGGCAGCAACATTGAACGCCTCGGCATCCTGATTTGGTGAGCTCAGCGAATATGCCGCGACGGTCGCACAGCAGAAAATGAACTTTTCCAAGCCATCTGAAATCAGGCAATGGGCCCCCGTCTGCAACCAAGGAGTGGAGACGGCTTCACCTCTGTGATCGGATAACTGCCTCAATGCATTAACTCGCTCCCCTGGTTCTTGACGCTGTCCATCCAGTGCTCAAGTTCACGGCAACCTCACTCTGCGACCCATCCTTCAGCCACAGCGTCCGTCACGTTGGGCACCTGGTCAGCGGCGTCTCCTTCAAGGTCACTTTTCCGATCACATCAGCACACTCAAAACTTGGCAGTGTCCTGTCAGAAGTCTAAAGTTGGACTTTGCCAGTGGGAACATAGCGCGGAGGACGGCCACAGTTGGATGCGATTCTGCGACCAGCGACGCTTTGCCTGTTTTCGGGACATCCACCGAGAAACCGGCCAGAAACGGCGAGTTCTGCTTCACCTCCATTTGCGTGATCTGCAGTCTTTGGGCTGGTCAAATATGGTAAAATTCCTTGGCTCTATCTTGGACCTCTTTGTCGGTGGTCCCCCTGATCTCTGCGTGCAATCCTTGTCCCTTTTTGCCGAGGGGACGCACAATTGCCTTCCACCAAGCCCTCTTGCCCATAACTTGATTTTTGTCATCTCGTGGTAAATGGGACGCGGCAGCACCGCGACGTACTTGGCGTTGTTGTTCGTGACCCTTTCCAAAGCGACGTCCTGCAAACCCATGTTGACCGGAGAACGTTGCGGCAAGAAAGAAGCAAATGCAGCCAAGACCACGTACGTGCCAGAGACTAGAGACCACTAGAGCCAACTCTTGCATCCTCTTGCTTTTACACACCAACGCTTCTACACACAAACCCTTTTGCACACAGACGCTTTTACACACAAACGCTTTGACACACAAACACTTTGACACACAAATGTTTTTACACAAAAACGCTTTTACACACAAACGCTTCTACATACAAACGCTTTTACAAACAAGGCGAAAGCGTTACCGCTGGACCAACCAATCTTGCAAAAAAAACTATTTGTTTGACGCTCGAGCCTCGTTTCGTGCAAAATGGTTGCCGCCGGACCAACCAAACTCGCAAAAAAAACAACAGGTTTTGACACTCGAACCTGGTTTCGTGCGAAAGTTGCCGCCGATGATGTAAATCGGAAAAAACCTTCAGTTTTTGACACTCGAACCTCGTTTCGTGCGAAAGGTTGCCGCCGGACCAACCAAATTGCAAAAAAAACATCAGCTTTTGACCCTCGAACCCCTGTTTCGTGCGAAAAGGTTACCGCGGAAGTTGTAAAATCGCAAAAGCCTTCAGTTTCTGACACTCGGACCTCGTTTCGTGCGAAAGGTTGCCGCCGGACCAACCAAAATCGCAAAAAAAAACATCAGCTGTTGACACTTGAACCGCGTTTCGTGCGAAAGGGTTGCCGCCGAGGATGTAGATCGCAAAAAGCCTGCAGTTTTTGACACTCAAACTTCATTTGGTGCGAAAGGGTGGCCATATCGTGGCGCCTCCTGGCACTGCCTGCGGCCTTAAGAGAGAAAAGAAAAAGAAGGAGAGAGACCGTGATAGAGGGCAAGAGAGAGAGCGAGAGAGAGAGAGAGAGAAAGAGAAAGAGAAAGAGAAAGAGAGAGAGAGAGAAGGTGTGAAGCTGAGAAGATGAGAAGATGTGAAGATGAGATGATGTGAAGATGTGAAGATGTGAGTATGTGAAGGTAAGAAGATGTGAAGATGTGAAGGTGAAGAGCAAGAGGGAGAGAGAGAGAGAGAGAGAGGGGAGAAGATGTGCGAAGATGTTCAGATGTGAGGATGTGAAGATGTGAAGATGCGAAGATGTGAAGATGAGAAGATGTGAGTATGTGAACATGTGAGGATGTGAAGATGTGAACAAGATGTATAGCAGACCTCCACTTTTGGAAGAACCCTTCGCTCAGACAATCTCGGGAATAACGACACCACTGAAAAAATATCGAAAATGAAGCCAACAAAGCACACAACTGGCCAACAAGGCTAAGAAATTGAATGCTAAAAAATGAAGATGTCGACAACTCTCAAGGAGCCTGCTTTGCTGCAGCACGCATTCGAGCTTCGGGTGTGTTGTCTACGTATTGGATGTACCAGCCTGCATTGTGCATCAATCCAACCGAGCCCAAACACCCCACAATTGGTTTTAAAGAGCACTCGGCCATCAGTCATCACTTGGTGCACATTGAAGAGGAACCCCACTCAAGCACTGCCAAGCTGGCCTTTTGGAGTCTTGTCAATCGTGCACTGATTTGTTCTGCCCAGGTACTGGACAAAGTTGCTGAGGGTGACCTGGCATGGAACTCATTCGGTGAGAACCCAGTTCAAGACCAAGCCTTCGAAAGTTCGTTGAAACTCTTTGCCAAGCAGTTTGAGCAGTTTGAGGTGGAAAAACAAGTCCATCACCGCACCCATATAGTTGAATTCATGTGCGTGTGGTGGCGGTTTGAGATGAAGTCACCTGGCGCTTTGGGATGGGTTTGGAACTTTTGAAGCGCGCAACGACGTTGCTACCTTGTGCAATGACTTTCTTCCTTCAACTCACTTTTCGGCCCTTTTTTTATCCATGCCGCATCCCGGACGACAAAATCCTGAAGCCTTCTTTGGGCTTGATTGCAAGAATGCATGGTGTTTGTTCTTCAAAGTTTTCCATCGTAGGCATTCCTCACCACGTCTGCCACGCATGCCTCAAAGAAGCAACAACCGACCCCCCAACAAGCAGCTCATCCAGCTATGGTCAGTTTGCATCACATTGACGTGGGACTCAATGCAGCCAAGATTCCGGCACAATATCATCAATGCGCTCCCCAGATTTCAAACGGGAACGCAGCAATGTAGAGCTCACACATGAAAATTTTGGAGGGCCCTCAATGTAGAAGGTTCCTTCATCGCCACACAGCAAAAATCAAACCAAAAACGCCCGCAGTCTCTCTAGACCATGCCAAGTTTCTCATGGGCGCCCCACATGAAGAGATCATAGGCCAACAAATGTTTTGAACCTACCAAGAGAGAGAGCGAGAGAGAGAGAGAGAGAAAGAGAGAGAGAGGGAGAGGTGTGTGCATAGAGAAAGAGAGAGAGAGAGAGAGAAAGAGAGAGAAAGAGAGAGAGAGAGATATATATATAATTATATATATATAATATATAATATTGTATATATAATTATGTGTATATATATATAATATATGTAGAAACAAGTGAAAAGCCTACACTAGCCACAAAAGTACCCTGCACTCAGCGCACTATTTCTTGAGCCACAACCACAAGGCAAGTGAACCGTAAAGGTGATACATATGGGACTACTGTGCAACAACACCCCCCGTGCAGCGTAGCTATGTACAAAGGGTGAAGCTGCAAATTTGCTAGTGCACATTAGTGGTAAGGGGTGCCGGTCAAAACACACTAGTTACCCAAAATCCCGAAACCAAGTCCCATTGATCGCCTGACCTTTCAAGGCGTTCTTTCAATGTCACCTCAGGTGCACAAAGTGTGGCAAAGGTTTGGCAAGAAGACATGACAAAGCAATCCATTAAATCTGACACCAAGTACTGCGATCAACGGATGCTGCAATGATCAATTTGGTCGTATGCTCTCAGCTTTTATTTTGGGCTCAACCGGGCTTGTGGCCGAAGATGCAAACGTGTTGAAGTGTGGCCCATTACGTGGGCCAGCGTTTCCACGCGGCATCAAAAGTTCTTGTGGACGCCCGGGAGCTTGCCAAAGCAAAGCGATGTTAATTATGGCACAAGCTGAATTCGGTCGAGTGAACCCGCAGGGAAGCATGGAGAAAAGCTTCAAAAGCGCCTTAGTTTCATAAGGCAAGAGCTTCCGCTCTGCGGTACATGCAACTACCAGCCGTGTGCTCAGCAAGAAGGAATCATGGCAAGAATAAGATGAGTGCCAAATGGCTGCTTCAAATTATATGCATTCAAAGCGTTAAAGAAACTTTTGAACTTCAACTGAGTTGGCAAAAATTCCGACTTAGCACACTAGTTCGGATGTTGGTGGAATCGTGCACCCACCTGTGCTTAGAAGCTAATCGCCTACCTCGAATTATAAAAATCTCAGTAGGCAAGAGCTTCCGCTCCGCGACACATCACCCACGGAGTTGTTGAAGCCCCATCCCTGTTGGTATCGACGGTCCCGGTACTGATGTCCCTGGTTCCGACAACGCCAATCCTCCCACTCCTGGTCGGTCCATTGGTTGTAGAAGTCGTTCCACTCCTGTTGCGTGTACCCGTAGAGTAGGACCCTGATGCGATCCATATCCAGGGCTGGCAGACCTGGTATATTCTGGATTCTGCTGTCGGGTCGCAGGGAGGGGTCGGCTTCCGCCTTCCGTACCAGTCGCCTCTGTCAAAGGACGGAGGATGTCGTGCACATAGTAGAGGATATCCGCATAGACGTCCTCTTTGGAGAGTGCAAGGGACTGGAACGTGGTGTTGGCGTCGCTGAGGACCTCAAAGCGGTCTCCGATTGGGAGAACGGCATAGGCAGCAGCAAATTGGTTCGCTCGATAAAATCGATTGCGGAACCAAAACAAGACGTGGTCGTCCACGACCAGCGTCTGCATCTGACCAGGTTCCTGCGCAACAATGCACATTCTGGCCTTGTATTGCCGCACTTTGCCCGTTCTGATCTCCTCTTTGGTCCTCTTGATGTTGGGAAGCACCACATTGCCTAGTGCAGTAATCCAGTGCATGCACCTCGGAGTGAGGTCCTGGACTGCACAGTTAAAGGCGTAATGGGCGTCCGTTCCCAAACGCTGGAGTAACGACATTCCTGCTTTGCGCGCCTGCTTCATGTAGGAGCGCGCATGATTTTTCAGGACTGCTGCAGCAGAACGGATCTGAGAAGATCCATGTGTTGTGCCTGCAACATCGTCGTCCCCCAACATACCCAGGGTGAACTCGAAGCCGAGCTTTTCAGCAAGCTCTTCAAGTCTGAAGACCTGGCAGGCCCTTCTCATGTCTGACATGGTGGCGAGGGATATACCACAAGCCAGGCATATCAGCATGCCCTCAGGAAAAACCTTCCGACATCTGGGGCAAGTCAACTCCGGCATAGCCAGAATTGAAACAAAGCGCCAGCGCGTAAGGTTCCCCTCCGCGGCAGGATGGAAGGCATCCTGATCAAAGCGATCAGAACGGCGTTCCCGCGCGTTGTCCGGGGCAACTTCAAAGCCTGCAGCTGAAACCGTTGGCTTCCTGGCAACACAGGAGGTTCGTGAAGCTGAGGGGGCATTGACGTGCCTTTGGAAGAAGCTCATCGGCAATTTCAAATGGCGTGCCCACTTCTTTGAAAATGAGCGGCCTGCGCAATGTCACCACGTCCTTCCACTGATCGTACTGGTCCGTAAACAGCTCCTGCAGGGACAGGAGGTCAGAAGATTCATAACGATCTAGGTCCTCATAGTCGGGAGTGCCCTTCCGGGCTTCGTTCTCCTTCCAGTACAATGCGCTCTCCGAGGCCTTCTGACGGAGATACTTCTTGATCCCGTTGTAGCCATGGTTCGCCCACAGGTATTGGGACTTTTCGCAATCGAATGCGTAAGCCCGGCAATGGTTCGGGATCCAGTCTTCGCAAATGAGTGCCCCGGCCAAAGTTTCCACCAGGCGAATCCCATAGTGCAACGCACAATCCGTGTCGATTGCGACACAGAGGGGACGGTTCGTCCTGGCTCCTGGGTCTTTTCCTTCGACTTCCCAGGGAGCGTATCGTGTCATGTACACGTGGCCTTTGCACGATGTTGCTCCAGGAAAAATCCCAGTGCAAATGATGGCCTGAAGAGCGCTCCACGACGTGTACAACAGACCATCCGAAACTCTTCTGGGACCTCGACTTCCGCCAGGTGTGGGTAGATCGGGACTCTCGGGTAGAGTCCATTGGCAAGATCTTCCACGGAGAAGCCGTGGTCAAGGCAGATGACCTGCTTGGCAAGCGGAGAGGTTCCCACCTTCTCGTTCAGGGTCTGATCATGCCCCTGGCACGCCTTGACATAGGAATCCTATAAGGCATATCCAAGGTTGTCAGTTCCCCGACAACGCCAGTCTCGATCCTGCAAATGAAGCGGTCCTGAGTCCGCAAAATCAGATACAGGTCTTGCTTCGACAGATGTGCTCTGAACCTCTTGCGAAGAAAACTGCACATGCCTTCAAAGTTCAAGTAGAGCTGCTCGTCGAAATCTGGCGGGTTGATGGGGCTCGAGGTATACTTGTGCTCATAACCTCTGAGGAGCCCTGACATCCTCTTCGCAAACTTGAAATCGTCTGGATTCAGACGGCCAAGGTCACGCAGCCCGGGGAGCTCGGTGCATCTGATGGTGAATACACGGCGCTCACCCGTTCCCGGGGAGAAAAAGTACCACTTCGGATATCCCGATGGTCGCAAAGGTGGGTCACCCGGAGGCTGGGGTCATAGGCGGCTCCTTCCGTGGCATCTTGGGCGCAGGCTCCGAAGAAGCCGAAGCTGATGCTGCAGACTTCTGCGGTTGTGCCCTTGGTGAAGCTTTCGACATCGAAGGTGGTGCTTTGTATGGAATGCCCGACTTTGCCATTGGCTGGTCCGCAGCTTCCGCTGGGAGTGATGGTGGATCTGGTTTTGGTGATCCAACAGTACTCCGTTGGTGGCGGACTCGGCTTCGGAGAAGACATAGGTGACGTCCCCATAGAAACCTTCGGCAAAGATGGAGCCTTCTTGTAGGAGATCATCGTCGCCTGGTCGCTGGCCGCAGGCTTGATGAATTGGCCAAGCGTGTCGCCAATGATCTGAGAGATTCCGCAGCTACTTCCTTCTGCGGTGCTGCTTCCGACTTGGATTTTGATACGATCTCAATCGAGGCGGCAGGGTCACCCGCGCGAATTTTCTGCTCGGCGGTCTTGACCTCCTCGAAGATCTCTCGTTCCATTTGTCGGTGGTGCTCCTCATCAGTGAGGTCGTACCGACGGATGATCACTTGGCCGTCTTCAGTTTGAGTTGTCGGTTCACTTCGAAGTTCAAGCCTTTTGGGGTCCCGTGTAATGTCGGTATCCAAAATATTGACTACGCCTGACACCAAGTTTGAACTCGACCGCATGGATCTTGTTCATCAGATGAGAGCGCAGCTTCCGCTGGCTGAAGAGAGAGGCAGAGCCTCCGACAATCGGGGTCTTGAAGACCACCTCCTCATCGGCATCGGGCCAGCTCGATGCCGATCCAGCTTCGGACTGATCCTCGACCTGGGGTGTGTAGTGGAGCTGGGCACGCTCCGGGTAGCCGCTGTCCTTTGGGGCGGGTCTCCTTCACATAGATCTCCCACCCGTCCACATCAACTGACACCATAACCTCCATTTCCTCCCATTGAGGATTGTTCTCTGGCTGAGGATTGGCCAGCGATTCCTCCCGGCGCTTGTTTGTTTCGGCCAGCTCGATCAGGGGCTTGCAAGAACGCAACCTGAACAAGTGATAGCCGAGAGCTCCCGCTTCGGAATAGAACCTGATGGCTTGGAGCCTGTTGTGCTCCGTGTTCTCCATGTGTTGGCCCTCGTATCTGGTCGTGCATTTGATGAGAGAAGTTGCATCCAAGACACACAGCCCACGTTTGTGGAGTGCCTCTGCCTCTCGGATCATCTGGCGATCATAGTCAGGGTGAAGCCCATAACCACGACTGTACCATGGCATGACCAGGACGATGTTCCCAGCGTCAGCTCTTGTGGACAACTTCACAAGATCATTGAGGGCGCTGAATCGAGTGTTCACGCGCTCCTCGATCATGGCGTTGGCCGCATCGCGACGCTTCTGGGAGTAACAGGCTTCAACCACTCGCAATGGATAAACCCATAGTTGCCGAAGATGCCGTTGCCGGCGTATGACACGACCACCACGGCCGGGCGAGAGGTTCCCCTCCGCTGCAAGTTGTCGAGTGAGTGCTCAACCCCCTTGATGATGTCAGGGAGTCCTCGTCCCCCAACGGAGATCATGCCACACTGTCTGCCTGCCAGCGGGGAGAAGATCAGGCTTTTG